TACGAAATGTGTAGATAGAATACATATATTTCAGGTTGTTATTTTGTCATTATGTTTAATGTTGTATTTACCTTTTAGTATTTTTATATAGTATCTGAACTTTGGAGAGGAGTTGGGAGACACACGACACATCAAATCACATCTTACATATCAAGGCGAAGCGAATGGAAGTACTCCCATACTCCTAGGTGAAAATGGTTTGTGAAAACGTGTGCAAAGTCTCCGAAAATCCTAAATATAAAGCTCATATTTGAATTCATCATAAAAAAAACACATCATTCAGTAAAAACAAAGGCCCCACTGATCATCTACTCTCTGAGACGATTCCAGGGATGTCTGGCTTGAGTTTCGACCACCAGGGAAAGTGGACAAAAGTGCCCGAGATCAGCCTCTTAATTTACCCAGGGTTTAGTGCTTGGCTTTGGGCGTGAACATTCAGGAAACTCCCCTGAGTATTTTATTAAATATCTGAACTTTGGAGAGGAGTTGGGGGACACACGACACATCAAATCACATCTACAGATCAAGACGAAGCTAGTGGAAGTACTCCTAGCGTGTGAAAAACGTGTGCAAAGTATCCGAAAACGGAGCAGTGGCTGTGAAGCTAGCTTTGCGGCTAGCGGTTAGTTGTTATTGTTTGAAGTTGTTGCTATGGAAACAACATGACGGAGAAAAAATTAATATCTTCTACATATAATAACGGACAAAGTAAAGAATGAAGTGTAGGCTATGCCTGTTTGAAGTTGTTGCTAAGGAAACAACATGACGGAGAAAAAGTATAATCTTCTACATATAATAACGGACAAAGTAAAGAATGAAGTGTCGGCTATGTTTAAATGTTCGGAATTTGACCGTGATGGCCCTCTTGAGTTGCCGTAAAATATGACGAATATGACGGATGACGGATGCGACGGAAATACACCCGAACATATCTGGTAGCCCGAACATATCTGGTACTGACACCGTAACTGGTCGTTTTAAAAATCTGTCCATCTTCGTAGTATGCTAGCCGTGTTATATATCTATGATGCTTGCAGCGGCGCTCTTTGACTGACGTAACAGTTATTGTTGTTTCCACGGTAACGCGCTTGATTTTTAAATGTATCTATTTGTTAGATTTGAACGTAATCTATGAAATATTTTAGATTAAAAAAAAGAAAAGATTATTTGTTGAAAAAAAAAAAAATGAAAAAAAATAATTTAAATTAATGAATCTGAAAACTTTTCACGGACCCCCTGGCAGAGTGCCACGGACCCCCGGGGGGTCGCGGACCCCACTTTGAGAACCACTGCTCTAAATTACCGCAGTCTCTTCTCCTAAATCCTTTTGAATTCTCCTATCCACTACTATCCCTTAACCCCGTGACGTTTCACTCAGAGGTCAAGGAATAGGAGATAGGGTTAGAATTTAGGAGCTGATTTTTAAACTATCCGACCGCAACCTAAGTCTTTCTCCTCAAACCTACGCATCTTTCAGGGACTCACAGGGACGAAAGAAAAGCCGGAAGAGGATTACATGAGGGGGAATAAAATATATACCATATCAGGAAAAGGTGAAGGATTCTGATCAAAGACAAAGAGAAGTGTGAGTGAAAGAGATGCAAGGCAGAAAATGTTGCCAGTATCTATAGACTAAAAGTATCTTGGTTATAAAATCCATCCATCCATCCATCTTCTCCCGCTTATCCGTGGTCGGGTCGCGGGGGTAGCAGTTCCAGCAGAGAGCCCCAAACTTTCTTTTCCCTGGCGACATCAACCAGCTCTGACTGGGGGATCCCAAGGCGCTCCCAGGCCAGTGAAGAGATATAATCCCTCCACCTGGTCCTAGGTCTACCCCTTGGTCTCTTCCCAGCTGGACGTGCCTGGAACACATCCCTAGGGAGGCGCCCAGGTAGCATCCTAACTAGGTGCCCGAACTAGGTTATAAAATCAGTTGTAAAAATAACAAATATGAATTTTAACACATGTATTCCTTCACTGTAGAATACTGAAGAATGGACGCAATCAGGCAACACGGAAAATAGAGGAAAACCAAAGACAGGAACAATTCAGCCAAATTATAAAAAGGAGCCTAAAAAAAATCATGTATTTCAAATGTTAAAAAAGGTCCTGTCCCCTCCCTGCCTTATATGGAAGGGCTCTTAGCATGCTTTGCTTTCTGCAACAGGAGTTACATTTCTTGGACATGCACATTTTTTCAATAAAAACCTCAGGGTTCCAAAGGGTAACAAGAAATGAACCACTGATTTAATCTGCAACAACACAATTTGTAAACCTGACATCTGTTTTGTTTTTGAATACTTTATTTTGTAAAGTAATGATGGAAGACCTGCTCGAGTAATGTACCAATAACCCAATGTGAAAATGTACACAGTTTGGCAGTTTAGTTTAGGTTACTAAATGTACGGCTGGGTTCTTCCGAAGGGTCCACAACAATCTGAAGGGTGCTGAGATGATAAACGAAGGAGAAAAGTTCTACTACAAAAATCAATATTTCAGTTTTCCTATTTCAACCCTCTTTTTGAAAAGTTGGGACAATTTGACTACTTTGGAAATCAAACAGTTTCTTAAATGAAACCATCTGAAAAGTTTAAAGGGGGAGTCTGAGACATCTGGAGGGAGAGGTCACACACCAAAACTTGGGAATCCCCGGTTTAATATTTAACAATACATCGTATTTTATTATAGCTTATATGTATAATCTAATTCTGAAAGAGTCAAAAGTTCAGAGAATCCCTCTTGAATTTAGCACCGAAGAAGTACAATAGAAAAACAGAACAATAGTGAGTCATTAACATGGTTTTCTTTAACTACAATGTTTTCCCTCATCACAATTACCCTGACTTCGTACACAAACAAATCTCATCAGCAAGCTGGTTTGGTCCCATTGGTTACACCTCGAATGTTTTCCTTTCGTTATCGTTTTTACAGAATGCCCTTTATGATTCATCTGTGTTTAATGTGTTCTGGCGTGATGGAGGCCGGGGTTCCACTGCAACGATCTGTTCAGGGACTTCCTCTGAAGACACACCTCCTTTGGCGCGCAACATCATTTCCTGTCTCGTGTGGAGACATGTGGAGTAACAATCAATTGCATTGGAGGGTGGAGATGTTGGAGTATTCACACACACACACACACACACACACACACACACACACACACACACACACACACACACACACACACACACACATACATGTGCAAGCGGACGTGTGGGCCTTGCAAAATTGCACACACCCCCTGAGTAAGCCCGAGTTCTGGCTGAGACTTTTGGCTGACCATGGATAAAACTACTCTAGGAAACACAAACACTCGTATACCATTAGTTTGACTTCAAAGAAAGCCCATGATGCAACACAGCCAGCATGTGTTTGAGATGCACCAGAGAGTCATGTAGAAGTGTGCGACACATGGCTACAAATGCCATGTTTTCCTGAGCTGATCTGTGCTGCATGTGATGTTAATGTGTCTTTTAACATTGGCAGGGAATATATTTATAGATGAGATAATGAGAGACATTGTTTCCATGGAATATAATGGCAGACATTCTCTGTACACTCATAACTTTTTGGATGCAGACAGCCCATGTGACTGTTCCAATTAGTCTTCATATGCTCCTGACTAAAGCATGTGTTCGTTTTATATGGCATTGTGGGGACATAAATCTGGAGTCGTACATGCTGCATGGACTTGCCTATTCTAGGGACCCAAACTGTGGCCCTCCCAACTGTAACAGCTTATATTTATTTCATAACTTGGCTGTAGGTTGAGATTCAGGCTAACATAGATGTTTGGTTAAAGGGGAAGGAAAAGAAAGAGATGCACTGCTGTGTACAGTACTGTATGTGTGTTGTTGCTTGTAAAGAAAAACAAAATTGGCACATATTCCTCATTATAAACCCCCCTATACATGCACACAGTAATAGGGTGCATGTGTTTGCAGGCGATTTAATTTGTTTTGAGTATCCCAGGGTTTGTCTGTGTAGATAATGAATCATGGATAAGACTTTTTTCCCTCAATACACACATCTTTAGCACTTACTGTATCACATTGCGTATTGTCAGCGGTTTATTGCTTCATTCTTTCTTATGATCTCTTGTTTCCCTGTGTGAAATGTGTCTTGTCTGTTGTGTGCGTTTGCAAGGTTGTAGTCCTGTAGTTCTAGCTGGAGAACAGTATAAACCAGGATAACGTGTATGTGAATACCTTCGTCTGCAAAGTGTGCAGATGCATCCTTTGGGCAAGTAGTTGACAGTTAGCAAAACAGTGTTGTACAGTATATTGAAATGGATGTCATGTCAATCAAGCAAAAAAAGTTAGCTTGAAGGAAAACTACATTATTGATCAAATGTGCACTTCATGATGCACGTCCAGTGTCAACAGACAGACATGCAGCCAGGAAGTAGGTTGCAGATGTCATGGTGGTGAATGGGTGTCTAGCAGATTTGAGTTTCATCATCAAAGTCTATTTTATAAATGCTCACTTTTCCATTAAGCGGTTTCCCAAGCCTGTTTCCTATAACCTAACCTTGTAATGGCATATCAACACTGACCTAAGCTAAGTGCTTTGTGCTCTGTGCAGATATTGTAGAAAGTGAAAATGTTAAAAATATTGTAAAACCAGATTTCTTCCATGCAAATCTGTTTTCCAGAGTAGCAAAACAGGGAACTTAGTGTTCTCAGTGTGAGACAAGCTAGGAAAAAGAGAGAAAGAAACAATGAAAAGTGTCAAAAGGCCTCTGCAGATGGAAAGTAGGATTGCTGAGGACACACCAGACTTAAAAAAGAAAAAGAGAACAGAAAAAAAGACAGAGGAGGGCGGGAAGCTTAGAGAAAACTCACCCCTTTTCCAGAGAAAAACGAGCTTGGGATGGAGAGTGAAAGAAAATGGGGGAGGGTAATGGGTGTGGGTGTGTGTCTGACTCTGTCTGTCCCCTCCCTCCATTATAGAGGTATAGATGGTGCAGGGCAGCCAGGAGACAGTCCAGAGAGCTGCACTAGTCCTGAGACCACCAGCTCAGAGAAGTAGTCCAGCCACTCCAGAGACGCCCAACCAGACTCACAATAACTCAACCTGTTAGTTTCATCCAATCAGCAAGGAGTGACAGCTTCTCTTATTCCTGATCTGAGCTGATTCAGATCACTGACAGCTTTACACCTGAGACGCAGAGACAACACAGCAGAGATGAGGATGGGGATGCAGCAACACTCACACAGCTTTCTGGTCCTTCTTCTCTTGGTCTTCATCGCTGGGATAGTTCTTTCTGTCCCCTCGACGCCCCGCAGGAGCAGAGGTAGGTCACGCCTGCATCAGAGTTAATGTCTTCCACTGAGGAATCCACATGACTAGTGAATGCATGTGAAGGGGTGTGTTGTTAGTGTGTGGGTCCTTGCAAGTGAAATTGAACATTAGTGTAATTGTCCTTGTGTTTTAGCCCTTTGATGCACTGATGGCTGTTCCATGTCTTTCTCTGCCTTCGGCCAAATGCATGCTGGGATACCCTTGGAGAGAGAATATGTCATAGTCACTAAGATTGATATGTGTTTTAAGGATACATGACAAGCGAAAGTGTTTTTTATAACCATATCGAGGTAACCAGTTTCTGCAAAGTGATGGATACAGTTTGACACATGTTGTTTGTAACATCATAAAGAAAGTTGGCAGCTTCTGATGCAAAAATCCCCCAAAACACACAAAATAATTGGCCTCAGCTCTTTTCCTCACACATTTTTGTGATTACCGCAAATAGTGAAGAAGGGAGTTAAGGGAGTCTGATTTTATTTGTCATTCCAAGGTTTTGTTTGAAGAGTAATGTACCATATTATTTCCTTAGCAAACTTGCAATGAAATGAACACCACTTCAGTGTTTTAACTGTTTCAATGAGTTATAGTTCTTAAGTGTTAAGTGTCCTTGTATATTGTGACTTAAAGCTGTTGAAGCTGTTTTGTTTCTGCACCAAGTGCAATAAATTCTCAGCAGTTTGTGTCCCCCTGCACAACTAAACAGCTTCATTGAAATAAGTCATGTTCAATATAAGTGGATTTGATACTGACTTCTGCTGTTGAACCTTAAACCCTTAACGGAAAAAAAGCTTTCCGCTCTTGAGCCCTGCCTCTATTAGAAAGCAGGGTTTTTACGATCCCCGTGGTTTATCCATATTTCCCTGAGACGAGCTGAGCAGACACAGTGAAATAGATCAGTTACTGCTTCTCACAGGTTGTAATTAAAGTGTTTCCAGGTTGGGGGTCAGGGGTTAGACTTGTAGACAACATGGTGGGACGGCATTCCTCGAACTCTGCCCACCATGCAGGGGATCTGAAGAGTTTGTAAGTCGGCTAATTATTTTCAATCATCGCCTCAGGGAAAAACTTTGTTAACTGCCTCTTTTGTTTTATACACATTGCAGCTCTTGTTAATGGATCTTTTTAGAAAACAACCTGCAGATAAACCACAACAAAGCAGTAAACATATCGTTTCTGCCCTCCCTGCCCCCCTCGCCACATGCCCTAAAGGAAAGACAGACGCACTTTAATAAGGAGATTATAACGTATTGAGCCTTTATCTGATTATGATTCTCACGCCATCCTTGGAAAGCAGAACATTTTCCACACACACACACACACACACACACACACACACACACACACACACACACACACACACACACACACACACACACACACACACACACACACACACACACACACACACACACACACACACACACACACACACACACACACACACACACACACACACACACACAGCCATGGTCTGTTTTGCGGGTTCAACTTGGCGGCCCTTTTAAGACTTTTGATGATAGTAAAAGAGATTTGAGGTGAGCAGACTGGAGTTGATATAAAGAGGTGGAGAAAGAGGCTGCTTCCAGTGTGTAACTGGCCGGCTGAACTTGGCGTGCGGACCGTTCTCAGTGTGCAACTTTGGGAGCCAGATGAAAGGAAAGTGTGTGTTTTTGCTTTGGAAGGAGGGTTGAACGTCTGTATCTCTGTTCTTCTTGGATCAAGGCCCTGCTTTATGGGGGAAAAAACATGTTATGCAATGAGTGTATGCTTTCTTATGTCACAGATACTGTAGGATTATACACCAGAAGGTATCAGATTTGACAAGTCTATACATTTGGATGATCTATAACTCCCAAGGCTTTTCACTTCCTTTAATACTCATTTCAATCCAATACCAAAAATGATTTAGCACTACCCCTTCACAACAATACAGTATATGGCCTGGAAACTACTGCTGAGCCAGATAAAACATGGCCACATGTCATGTAGAGATTACAGTAATGAGAAGGAAATATGAGAGGAGGGAGAGGAGATAAGAGGACAAGAGAGATACATTCAAATCACTTTAGGAAGTCAAACAAGGATCAGGTTGATGGAAAGATGGTCGCTGACACATAAAGGACAGCGAAGATTGAGTGAAGGAGGAAAGGGATGGGATGGAGCGTTGCCACGAGGGAGGGGAAAACAGCTGTTGCTCTGTTGAGTTTGACAGGGGGGATTTATTGTGTGAGAGCGGGGGACCTGCATGGAAGCTGCCAAGGTGGAGGGAAAATGTTGGAGAACGATCCCAGGGACGACTGTTTCCCACTGGGCTGCAAGGTGAGGCCTCTTGTGAACCAATGACATGCTTAATACCAGAGGGCGGGATCAAAGAGGCTCCTGCTGCATGACGTGTATTCAGAGGACTTGGTAAGGGATATTCCCATCGGAGATTATATAGGTCAGTTCAGCTGTCGTTCGCTCACCAACTAAATGATTGCAACCCTCTGTGCTCCGGCTGGCACGGAGCTCAGAGAGATTTTCACACTTCATTGCCTTAAATGAAGGTGACTGTTTCACCAAGAGGCCATAAAACAGCCTCCGAGGAGCTGGAAGCCAAGTCTCCCCTTTCACCTCTCCTTTTCCAGGACAGAAACCTGAGAGGCTGAAATACTGGACCCCAGAGCTGCGTAAAATCACTCAGGAAAGGTGTCATCTAAAGTCAGTTTAATTGAAAGTGTGTGATGCTTGTAGGGTTTATACCCTCATTTAGTCAGGGGGATTCACAGGCTGCAGAGCTCAGCTGTGATGTTCAGCTGCTCGAGGAAAACTGACATGACTTCATGATTCTGTGTCACCACCAAAATAACCGCACTCATTTCAACAAGTAACGGAAAACCTCTTTTCCATTGCACATTTTGAAAACAAAACAAGCCTTGTAGAGTTGTTCCGAGCGGTTTTCTTTTCTCCTTTTGAGGCTTTGCTTTAGATATTTATAGTGTATTAGTTCACACATCAGCTTGAGTGGAAAAGTCTTGACATGATCAGAGTGTTAACTTTGATGCACTCCTCCACATGTGAACCAAGAGAGACAGAGGAGCTGCCAATAGAGGAACTCTGCGGTTTGATAATGTCAGACAATAAATCAGGACTTATTGTTCTTTGCGCATGCACAAGGACTGTTTTCATATTGATTTCCCAACACCAAACAGACATAAATATCATGTTTCACAGCCGTAAAGTGAGTGAAGTGTTTTGCTGACAACCCAATTAACCTACTCCCTTTTCTCGAGGATCATCCATCATGCTGATGATCACAGATAGCCGCTCCGCTCCGCTGAGCCAGGATTCAGTTTCCAGTTGGTAGGTGTTTCTGCTTTCCAAGCCAGCGGGATCACATCCTCTAGCTATTAGGCCCAAAACAGGAAAAATGCAATGTTGAAATGTTTATTGAATGATGTGGCTTTGTTTACCACCTAACCTGACATGTTTATTGGCTGACTTCCGGGCGATTTGATGGATTTGGTACAGTAATCGTGGATGAATTGGTTATATTCTCTGCAGACCGAATATGTCATGATGCTTTAATTGAAACGATTTGTCTTCATTATGAGATTTACAGTACATGACATTAAAATACTGTGTAAGTATGTGAGGCGGAATGGCATTTGTGATGCTGTCCGAAGAATCTGACACCATTTCTACATAACATACAGATGAAGTAATATATTCTTTTATTAAAACAGATTTATAGGGTTTTAGGGTTTAGATTTTAGGGTTGTTTGCTGCTCTAAGTTACATTGTGATTGCTTTGCACCTCTTTCCATCTCTTACTGGTCTTTTGCATCTCTTAGTTGGCATTTTGCATATTTTTGTGATTGTTCCATTGACTTTCTATCAACAAATGTTGACAGTCAAGTGAAACAAAGGCTTATCTTTCACCCGGTGTAGGCCTACCTTCTAATCCATCTATGTTTGTAACAGTAATGGTAGGATTATGGATTCAATTACATAGGTTACATGTCTTTTGATGAGGTTGTACATCTCCACTGATCTCATGTGTTCGAATGTCAGAGTCACAGGCAGAGCAGCCTCTCAGGAAAATGTGTTATCCTATTCTCAATGTTTTGCTCGATATTCATCCACACAAACATACACAAGATTACTTTGTAGTTTAGCAATTTATTCCTGTTAGTTTTCCTCTGTAGCTGATTGATTATCAGGACTGTGACTGGATTTGTTCCTAAAGTTTTATTAATTTTTCTTTGGAAATACTGATTAGTCTAGTCCCTAAGCAGTGTGTGGGCCAAATGGCCGGGCTCTGTATAGGCTGTCGTGGGACTCAGCCAGTGTTTGCTTGTACTGGAGTTTAACTCAAGTTGCCAAAAGTTTCCTAATGTTTCAAATGCTCTGATCCCCTCTCCGTCTGAGCCAAAGTCGGTCGTGTTATATCGGAAATATTGATGGAAGAATCAAAACAAATGCAGTTTTGATATGGAAACATATCACTGGGAAAGCATGAGGGTATTTTTCAAATCCAGGGCTTCCCCCACTCTCGCTGTCAGTGTCTGCTTTGGCGTCTGGCAGCTGCTGGCAGTATCCCTTATGAAAAGTTCCACTATTTCATTTAATGCTGAAATATGAGCCAGGGACTTGTGGAGAGTATAGTAGGAGCCATAATCCAGGCAGAAAGTCCATCTTTTTTAGCCTCATAGACTATGAAGGGTGTAGTGTTAGGCCCCTATAGACTCATTGGTGATTTCCACTGCTTAAAAAGGAGATGGAAAACATAATTACAATGTATGAGTCTTCTCTTATTACAATCTAGATTTATGAAGGGCTTCAATCGTTGAATTAAAACACACACAATGCAATACAAGCTGTTGATTTGAAAAGCTTTTATATCTTTCTTTTACTGCTTACCACCAGCGGCCAAGTCTGCAAAAGGTTGTTATTTCTTGTTTGTTTTACAATTAAGCCCCACTTTTGAGTTTCTGATGTCTATTACAGTAGCATGCCTGTAACAAACTAGATAATTGTTAACATGGCTTGTTCTTGGATCATTTTGAAGGCCACATAATAGTAGCAATTGGTGAGTGGAAAATAAGCAAACCATCCATTCATTGTTCTTGCAGAGACCTAGAGCTGCTTGTCTAGTGACTATACTATCATCATTCACAGAAGTTAAGATTTAGCATAAACCAGAAGGGATAACAGTCTGTGTTTATGTGCGTTCGGAAGGTGTCAACTACATTTACAATAACAATAACATCCAACATTTGCCAAATATGTACCCCTCATTTCTTTCTACCTTAATGTGAAGCTAATACATCCATCACACCAAGGCTATTTGATTTATAGACTCTAAAAGCTGCCTCTACGGCACCATGCAAGCTCATGGTCATAGCTCATTGGGCATTGGACTTTTGGTTACCTCACCAAGTTTAAAACATCCAAGAAACAGTCAAATTACTCTAACTCTGTTACTATAGTAAAGAATGGCATCTTGCACAACCGTAGAAGCGGAACAAAAAATACTAGAAAGAAAAAACTCTATAATCATCCATTATTCAAAACAAAAATGTACCGTAATGCCAAGTGGCTTACCACTAGTCTGATCAGAATTCTCAGAGCAAGTGAAGCTGGCTTTGGTTTACTATGATTCATTCGTTGATTATTTTCCTCATCCAATATCTGTCCCCAGACTCTGCTGATTAGGACTGTATTCTGTTCAAGTCAATTTCTACGAGAAATGTGTGGCCTCAGTGTGTTTCTGTGGAAGAGACAGACTCAAAAAGTATTCATCATACCGTTTTCTTGTCAAATCAACAAGATCAAGTTGTCCTCTCATTTTAACAATGCTTTTTCATTTCATTTCATTTCATTTTTATTTGTCCCGCTCATGGTACGCAAAACCAAATGTACAATAATTGCCACAAAACATGACTCTACCATTGAGCGAAAAGGAGCAGGGAGAAGAATACAATCTTATGTGACCTGTAAAAAAAACAAATGAATACAAATAGATGGTCTGCCCTTCATAATAATACTTTTTTTTTCACAGCCAAACGTAACAGTATCTTAGGATACTAAGAGAAACACACAAAAACAATACTTATTTCCCACTTGACGGTTAACGGAAAGAAACAAAACAACACCAAAACATCACATGTATAAGGAAAAGAAAAGTGCAACACCCTCATCTGAGTCCTACTGGAGAAGAAGGTGGAAAGCGACGCATGATGATAAAAACAATAACAACAATAACAATGGCAATGGGACCCGCAAATACAGAGGAGACATCAAAAACATGAAGGACCAGAGTACATAGACTTATTCACATTCTGCTTCATTTAGTCCCATCTTTCTTCATTTATACAACTTCTTTAACTGAAAAATACATTTACAATTCTTTAGATCCTTGTGTTGAGAATTCCACAATTGTACACCAACTACCGAAATACACATTTGTTTAAGAGTAGTCCTTGCATATGGATGCTTAAAATTTAATTTCCTTCTGTGGTCTTCCTTGTCTGATCCAAAAACAAACAACTGTTGTAAACATGCTGGTAACATTCTGCTTGTTGCCCTGAGCATTACTGATAATGTCTGCAGCTCAGCTGTCTTTGAGTTTCAAGAGTCCTGACTTAAAAAACAGTCTGTTGTGTTCTCTTGAGTCAGCTTTATGAAATATTCTTACTGCCCTTTTCTGTAATATTGACAATGGCTTTATGTTGCTCATATACGTGTTGCCCCACACTTCTATACAATAAATGCAAAATGGCAAAATGAGTGAACAGTACAACATCCTCAATGCCTTGTAATCTAGCAAATACTTTGCCTTGTTTAGAACAGAAATATTCCTAGACACTTTGGTTTTAACATGTGCTATGTGTGATTTCCATGTCAGGTTTTCATCCAGCGTCACACCTAAGGATCCCTTTCAATAAAAACTCCATCAATGGACAATGAAATGTTTTCATCTTTTTTTCTATTAGCAAAAACCATAAACTTCGTTTTATTCAAATTTAGGGTTAACTTATTTTCATCAAACCATCTTTTAAGTTTGACCATTTCATGTCCAATACACTTTGTTAAAATAACAGTAGATGCATTTTATAAGCACACCTGTATCCTGTTCCCACTTACATAACATTCACAGTGAAAGCTCCAGCTAACTATGCTTGTGGTGGCATACCCTAGATGTGTGTACTGTGTCTATACAAGTCTGAATGTATACACGTCATGTTCTCATCCAGTTATACATCCACAACAAAAAGTGTTATTATCATACGTTTTCAGTAAAACTTGTGCCTCAGCAGAATTGAAACGGCAACAGCTGCTTTGACTTGAAGTCTTCCTCACATGCTTTCATTCTTCTTTTTTTTTTTAAACCACTAAAATAGAAGAAAGACACATAAAGAAGTTGGTTTGAGGGTGGTTTGAACTGCAGTTTCCACATTGTTGTGCAGTATTTCCTTTCTTTTAATCCTTTTTTCTATATTTTGTGATTCAATGGTTGCTGCTCGTATAGATTGATACTCCCTTTTTGAGACTTTGTGGCAGTTGCCAATATCTTGAACTTCAGATATATAATTTTAAACTGCATTTCCCATGGACACTTGCATGCAAAAGCAAAGAAGTGCTCTATTTGATGTCATTAGAATCTCTGAGAATCCTTTTGTCAAACATTTGCTGTGATGAGGCTCCATATTGACATGAAGCCTGGTTTGGTCATAAAGTATGAGCAATGGACTGAAGTGTGCAGAAACTTTTAGGTCCATGTCCTGCATGTGGTGATTTTCTCGAAAATCAACAATTAATGGATACATTGATTCCTCCCCTGCCTCCACAGTGAGACGTCAGAACATGAAAGTCCGGATCAACGCCTCAGGAGACACCATCGTTATGAAGTTTTTGCGTCCCAACGCTGACACCAAGCTGGAGGGTTACATCCTGGGCTACGGCAGCAGCATGTTCTCCAAACAGTTTATTCAGCTGCCTGAAAACGGACAGCCGTACGAGACTGAGTTTGGTAAGAAAAATCATTGATACATACCTTTGTAAAGAACCGCCTAGAGATGAGAAGTTGCTTTTATGCACATTTTAATTTGACTGAATGTAATACTTTTAGTCATGGCTGAAAGAGATGGATGAGTGGCTGCGACATTTATTTTGTTCCTCTTCTGTGTTTAGATGCTGAACCCAAATACCTTATAGCCGTCCAGCCCATCCCAACCAATGATGTGAAAAAGCATTGCACAGGTAATGCTTTAAAAACACTTGATTTAAAAACATTATCCTTAAAGTGACACTTGGAGGTGGACATGGACTCAAAAGTAAAATCTTCATTTGTTTTTTAGGTAAAGTGGAACTGCAGAAGCCGCTACACCTGGTCATCGGCTCGGTAACGCCCACCTCAGTTATCCTGTCTTGGGGGACCCTGCTGAGAACTCCCTATGAAGGCAACGTTATGAATGACTGTCTTGAGGAGGGGTAAGCTTAGACGCTAACACACATTTTCAAGAATTTTATTTGGGCAGGGGCTTTAATTGACCGACGCCCCCCCTTATACAAAATATAGGCAACTGAGACCCCCCAATCACTTAAACGGGCCCTATAATGCTTACTTTCATGTACATATTTGTATTGTGTGTGTCTACTGTGACATGTCTCCATGCTTTAATGTTCAAAAAGGTCTTTATTCTTCTCACTGCCTGTGCTGCAGCACCTCTTTTCACCCTCTGTCTGAAACCAGAGCCCAGTCTGCTCTGTTGTTATTGGTTAACCCCTTAGAGATGTCCCGCACCTTAGCCTATCACGTACAATGTGTTGGAGCGCTAGCCAATAGAAGCGCAAGTGTTACGTACTGATGTCACTATGTTACAGAAGTAAACAAAGGAGTCCAATGGAGGCGTCACAGACAGGGGGGGGGGGGGTAGTGTGTGGGAGAGAAACTCCCTCTGGAGTGAACTTTGTGATTTGAGCCTTTGCAGACCATTAACATGCACAACACACGTCAGAAAAGGGACAACTGCAAAGATGACTTGAGCCTCTGTATTTTTCACATTTTGGCAACTTGCCATTATTAAAAGTATGCCAAACTAGCTATTAACAGTTCATGTTAGCAATGTCTCCATGTATGGACAGATAATAGCACTGGATCTTTTTTTACTATTGTACTAAACACCTCGGCCACAGAGCAAAGCCACGATAGACGGATGGTACAGTGTAAAGGTGTGCTGAAACAGAATTGCTCTAAATTACATTACATTACATTTAATTTAGCTGACGCTTTTATCCAAAGCGACTTACAATAAGTGCGTTCGACCAACAAGATACAAACTTGAAGAAAACAGAATCATATAAGTACATCAGGCTTCATAGAGCAAAAACATTTCAAGTGCTACTCAACTAGCTTTAGATAAGCCAGCCCTTTATTAGTATATAAGTGCTTTGTTAATAGTTCTATCGCTCGAAGTGGAGTCGAAAGAGATGAGTTTTCAGTCAGCGCCGGAAGGTGTGTAAGCTATCTGCTGTCCTGATGTCAATGGGGAGCTCATTCCACCATTTTGGAGCCAGGATAGCAAACCCACGTGTTTTTGCCGATGGGAACTTGGGTCCCCCTCGCAGCGAGCCGTTTGGTTGATGCAGAGCGGAGTGCACGTGCTGGGGTGTACGGTTTAACCATGTCCTGGATGTAGGAAGGGCCAGATCCATTCGCAGCATGGTACGCGAGTACCAGTGTCTTGAAGTGGATTCTAGCAGTTACCGGAAGCCAGTGAAGGGAGCGGAGGAGCGGAGTGGTGTGGGAAAATGTAGGTAGGTTGAAGACCAGACGAGCCGCTGCATTCTGGATGAGCTGCAGAGGTCGGATGGCACATGCAGGTAGACCAGCCAGGAGGGAGTTGCAGTAGTCTAGGCGTGAGATGACGAGAGCCTGGACCAGAACCTGAGTCGCTTTCTGAGTCAGTTGGGGACGTATCCTCCTGATGTTGTAAAGCGTGTATCTGCAGCAGCGGGTTGTAGCAGCGATGTTTGCAGTGAAGGACAGGTTGTTATCTAGGGTCACACCCAGATTCCTTGCAGTCTGAGTCGGGGAAACAACTGAGGTGCCGATGTTGACTGTTAGGTCAAGAGTGGGACAATCTTTTTCCGGAAGGAAGAGCAGCTCAGTCTTGTCAAGGTTGAGCTTGAGGTGGTGATCAGACATCCACTGAGAGATGTCCGCTAGACAAGCAGAGATGCGTGCGACGACCTGGGTCTCTGAGCGGGGAAAGGACAGAATTAATTGGGTGCCGTCAGCGTAGCAGTGGTAAGAAAAACCATGCGGGCTAATGACTGATCCGAGCGAGTTTGTGTACAAGGAGAAGAGGAGGGGACCATGGAGATTTTCAGCTTTTTCATGTCACACTGGCTGTATTGTAATCTTAATAAGCATAGAAACAGATAACTCACTCTCTTCTTCCCACACATGCAGTTGTTACAGAGAGTCTGGAATCAATGCATGAGCAGTAAATGATTCCCTGGAGTCTCTCAGGTTACTGAGCAGTGGATCCAGAACAGGCTGTGCACGCACGTGTTTAGGAGAGGAGTCCCACAACCCTCACAACATCTGAACGTAGTTTTTCTTCTATTTTGGAAGCATTTGATAGAAGAAATCAAACTTTGCCTTTTGGAACAGATTATTTTTTTCTGAATAAAGCAAGTAGATTAATGCATTTCATCTTTTGTGGAAAGAGTAGTAATTTTCTTCCACATAATCAAAACATTGTATCCAGACATTGCAGTTCATGCTGGAATGTGCAATTTTAAACAACACTAGACAACTTGAGATGGACAATTTCGAAAGGAGTTCAGACAGCTTTCCTAAAATGAGCATAAAATAAGACCAAACCCCAGCAGTTTCAGATCATTGTCAGCATTGTTGGAATTGCTTTTTTATGGTATCGGAAAATACTCAGCAGTTGTACGGTGACATTAAAGTACTTCTTGTACTTCTTGATATGTTTATCATCGTCTTACGTTATTATTAGACGTACGATTTACTGTTTAAATGTTCTGTTTCTGTTCTGTCTTCGGCTCAGACACTACACCGTGCGTTATCGTGAGAGACACAGGAAGTGGAACTACCAAACCTGCCCAACTAGCGACACAGTCATCGACAACCTGAAGCCAAACACGGTTTATGAGTTCGGTGTCCAGCCCAACGCTAAGGATGTCACCGGAGTGTGGAGCAAGCCGGTCATTCACAACATCAGCTCAGGGGGCACCGAGGGTATGTTTAATGTCAGTTTTTTTACAATATTGTCCATCCCACAGCAACTAAAACAGTAGTACTTGCTACGGCAATTTCATCAACCAAGTTTCTTTGAAAAGTAATGTTGATTAGAATCATCAAAATCCATGCAATAATGTATTTATGTGAAAAGATCATTATATGTATAAATGTAGTTCAAAGACAGAATGTGTGTGTTTCCCAGACCATCAAGTTAGTGAGGATAATTAAATAGTTTAGTATAATAAGTAGTTGTCCAAAACCTTATCTGGTATTTAATCATTGTCACGTCTTGTTATTGTTACTCTGGCCCTGTCCTATTTTAGTACAGAATGTGTCTTTCTGATCGTTAACATTGGTGCTTATCTGTGCACATGTTTTAGATTTTCTTTCATGTTTAATTAAGATAAACACATGCTACTTTTGACAGTTCCAAGAAGTATGTCTTCATGTTATTTATAGTCATGATTTCTTTGTGAATAAATCTGTTAATGTACCCATTTGGGGGAATTGCAAATAACTAGATACTTACCAATCTTACAGAATCAAAACTGCTTTGTTGTGAATCTTGAGCGAGGCATATGGTTTTGCAACGTGTTGTTACTTCAGTTTCTATTAATTCCACTGAACTGACTTTTTTTTACTGATTTGATCTTGTGTCATGTTTCTAGACAAGCCAAGGAAAATCATCGTTAAACGTCCCATCAACCCTGTGGTATGTATTGGACACTCTTAACTAATCGCAAATAATACGAAGCTGTTTTGTTGTAGAGTTGTATGAATATGTGATGTGAGAGCGCTGAGACTTCACAGGTACAGTTCACATAATTTTGGGAACAGAGTGTTTATTTGGAACAGGCAAAACTCTCTAGAGTCCATGTTGTACACTTTAGTCAGCTTATGCTATTCTCAGGGTTGTTTGCCTCATTAGTTTTCCATCCAGCTGCTGAATGGAAACAGCCGACTGTAGCCAGGACCGGCCGAGCCAGGAAGCAGTCTGTAGCTAGCTAACTTTTGAGAAGGATAACAAATTAGATGAGAAGGCAAGATATAGGAGGAAGGATAACCATGTGGAAATGAGTTGAGAGGGGAAAGGTGGCACTGATTTACACAGTGACAGTGGAGGTCTGATGTGTCACATGCTCCTGGCTCTGCACTCGTAAAACATCCCAGCTGTTGAGAATCAGCCACAACACTTGCCCTCCCAGAGGGAAACTTAAATAACAAGCTTCTCACCAGGGACTTTACCAATTCGACATGGAGTAGAATGTCTAAAACTAGTGCAAAACACAGAGAAAGAGAAGGCACTGAGTTTGTATGCTGACACTTTGACTGGTTGTGGTCATCACAAAGACTAATAACAGATTATTTCCCTTCTCCTTTATTCTGTCACCCTTCAGAAACCTTTACTGCCAGGTCCACGCCCCCCCTTTCCTCAACGCCATGGTAAGCCAACAGAGACATGCTGCTTTGGTCAAACCCACTGAGCCATTTTTTATGCAGAAGCAGAATGTTATAACACACTGTGATGTATTGCTGCTTAGTATTGTTTGTTTCAGCCATTCTCAGTGACCCATGCTTTAAATCCCAACACTGGAAGAATTTTAACTACAACTTTTGATTTATCGTCTTTTCAGACAGGACCTTTGCATATCCAGTCTAACTTTTGTTAATTCACAATTATTATTAAGCCGGTTTGTTGCAGATATCCCATTTACCAATGTTGTGTCCCTGATGATGGGATTCAATAGTTTGAATAACTCTGTAATGTGAAAGAGGTCATTTTTTGTGATTATTATTAAGAGGTTAACAAGTATGCATTTCCCTTCACCTTGACATTTTTAGCATCTGTAACCTCAGTGTAATTCATTTGAACTGTTCCCATCAGTAGCATTTTTGTCCACAATAGGCAGCAGTTTGTGCTGAAAACCCATTGTTTACACTACTTGCTCAGCCCCAAACAGTAGACAGATAACGTTAGCAACTAGCTTGTGAAGATAGCACAAATATTTAGCGGGAATTGGCTGTAAGAGTTTTTTTTAAGCTAAAAAATCAGAACCACAATGAAAAGGAATATCATTTGACTTACATTTCCCACTTTTCAAGAAACATGACTCTTCATCAACTTTAAATGTGATAATATGTTAATGTTGTGTTTACAGCTTGTTTTTGCTGCCCCCATGTGGCCAAAGAATCTAAGACATCAAATTCAGACTAATAATTCCTTTACATATTTTTTTCAGGATTGTGAGGACGTCTAATGTGTGACTTCTTTACTTAAATCTGTCTTCCCTTGTCATTATCAGTTCATCCTAACAGGACCCAGGGCAGACCGCCCTCCACCCGGAAAATAAACTCAAAGACAACTCTTGGTAATAACTTTTCTGACCTAAATCTGAGTTTAAAGGTCAGAAAAAACACTCTTGACCTTACGTCTGACCATTCAACCTTACTTCTCCCTCACTATCCTGCTTATTGTTTAATGAATATGCACCAGTTTTATTTATATTCTGCAGAACATAAAGTTACAACTTTTCTCACAGGTCCACTAACGTAAACTATATTTCTCAGCTCCCACCACAACTACTAAAAAGGAATCTCTGTCGACCCCTGGACCCACACTGCCTGTTGTCACCAAAAAGCCAATCGGTAAACTGTGAATCATGGTTCATTTTAAAAAAGCTTGAAGCTCTCATTTAGGCTGTATGCAGTCATAGACTTGGCGGACTGAAATTGGGAGGCTGATAATGCTAAACGGTGTCCTTTGTTTGAGCTGCATGAGTAAGAGTAGCATGCTCTGAGTGAGTACAGTACAGCTAAACCCCCTCCATGGAAACCGATGGAGTCAGCTGGTTGAGTTGCCAAGAGTGTAAGGTAGGTGGCCTTGGCTGCATGGCATTTTAGCAAAACAACAAAGCTTGCAGGAATTCCCTATAATGGTTTATAGGTTAAATTGTTACAGTCACTGATTCAAACAATATAAACAATCCGATTTGATCTCAGAACCCAAACCAATACGCATCAGATCACTTCCTTATTCTCTCTGTTTCTTATATCTTTACCATTATGAAAGTTATATGAAATTATAAAAAACCTAAGGCTTTTGCTTTCAATGCAGTGCGGGTGATGTGAAGTCTGCATGACGTAACTGCATGCACCAGAAATACTCTCTCTCCCACAGGAACTCGAGCAGAATTGAACCTTTCTCTTTTTCTTGTGTTACACTGTCATACTATGTCCTTTTCTACTTATCTTGTATTATGTTTCATCTAAATCCTAATTCTTATTGAATAAAGATCTTAAATAGAGCTCATTTAAATTCAGGGCCTGGATACATCTAAATACGAGTTTGATTACAAAAGCTCCTTTTATAGGCAGCCTGAATTTGAAAAGGATGAAGGATGCAACCCTCGTTATTCCATAATTAATTTTGCACCAATCAGTTTTTCAATGTAGCATTCATTGGTTAATTTGGAGGAACCAGTCAGTATTTAGACATGGTTATAGTTTCCATTTCTTTTTAGCAATTACAGGAAAGAACCATTTGACTTGGTTGGTTGGTTAATTCCAGTAGATTTGCCAACAACTCCAAAAGCATTACATGGTCATAAAGTTGAGTAGAGGCACTAAAGACCTAGCATCTCATGTAATCTATTGGTTTCTTTGCTTTCCAATTGTTTTCCTCTCTTTCTCTCACATTTTCTGAATTCTTTTTTTCCCCGTTATTCTCTATCCCTGAGGTGAACATCTGATCAGATTGAACAATCAATTTAGACTGGTCCATCAAAATCCCTCAGCAAGCAATCACTCAGCGACTATTAAAACCTCATGTGTCTTAGGCCACAGCCAATGGATTTGGATGGCCATTGCTCACAGGCGTCCTGGCCCTGCTAGCTAGGCCTGTAGGTAGTAACACGGTTGTTACTTTGCGAATACCTCATATGGTTTCTTTGCCTTTGTAATTCCACAAGACATGTGCCAGGTAGAAGTTATTGTGTAACCTGTACCTAAGTCCAAGATAAGCTCTGTGAGTTCTCAGGCCAGTAGCTGTTGGTACTTCTGCTGATCTAAATGTCAGCTGTTCCCAGAACGTCTTTATGTCTTGCTTTCATAATTTTCTAGACAGTAAAATCTAATTTATTTTTTATTTCATTGTGTCAGAATATAAAATATTTTGAAATTATATTTTACAGCTTCATGGCCATATTTTCTCTTTCTTACAAAATCTAGGAGGAAGAGACCTTTCCAGATCTGTCTTGCCTCCCTTCATGGAGGCTCCTTTACGTCCCAAGCACCGTCCTCCACCACATATTACAACCACTGTTGCAGCTGTAACAGCCCTCCAGAAAAATATAAATAAGCACTTAGAGCACAACAGCCAACAACCACAACAGAGACCCCAATCCCAACCTCATGCACAACCCCCACCCAAACCCCAGCTCCGGCCACAGTATCAGCCCCAACCAAAACCATATCCCCAAACCCAAATCCCTCAACTAAAGCCATGGGTGAAAGCTGAGCCTCAACCACAACCCAAACAAACATCCCTGCCCATACTCCAGAACCAACCACAACCACCACCAACATACCAGCCAAAAATCCAAACACAACCTCAGTCGGAATCCTGGCCAAAGCAGCATCCCCAATCACAGCCTCAAACCACACCACATCTCCAGGTTGAAACACAACCTAAACCAACACTGCAGCCCAAACACCAGGCCCAACCTCAAACACAACCCCAGAAAAAGAGCCAAACCCAGCCTCAAGTTCCCACACTTCCCCAGCCCACACCTGTGGCACATCCTCAATCACAAACACAACCTGTACGCGAAACTAACCCTGAACTTCAACTAACCACAAAGCAGCAGACTGAGGCCAAACCAACAACTAAACCAAAGACCATTTCTTTACAATCCAATCCCAATTCACAGACTCGACCAAAGGGTCCATCATCTAAAAAGCCAAATCATAAGTCAAAGTCTGAAAATACGCCCCAAACAAGAAACCGACAAGAACCTCCCCGTGAGAGTAAGCCAAGGTCCCAAGGACAACCTCCAAAAAAGATCCAGGCCCAACCAAAGCCCTCTCCACCCAAGCCACAACCTCAACCTGGGATTCATTTTCAGACCAGGACCTACTCTGATCCCACCAAGGTCACCCCAAGGCAGGCAGTCCCTACGGGTAAAGACCCTTTTTTTGCCATCATTAATCCACATAATCAAGTTTTAAGACCTTTTCTAAAATAACATTTTAAAGGGGGCATAAGGATTCAAGATTGAGGATTGATAGATATTGTCAATTCTCTACATTTGTAGGTGATGAGCTTCTTAAAATCTATCCTCCACCAAACAATCTAGAAATGTTGGACTCCTCTTAACCATGATTTTCTCCTTTGGTAAACCAAAATGAGAGTACATATATACCTGCCATTTTAATTGGTGCTCCAGTCCGAGTTCAGCTTTGTCAGAATGCACAAAAGTGTTTTCTCTTCATGGATATCATGATCGGAACAAATACCCTATTTTGAACCAACTATATTCTCCTAATCCATTACCTCAATTATGCCTCCTTTAAAAATCAAAAATATATTTGGTATTTTCTTAGATAAATAGTGAGTTTTCTTCCATACAGCTCCTAGTCCACCAGAAGAGGGCAAGCCTCTGCCAAGACCTGCCCTGGCTACAGAGAAGGCTGATAGTTACAATCAGGGTAAACGCTGTGTAAAGTTTGTCCCATTACCATCTCTGCTTTCGTCAAGTCACGTGGAACCCAATGCTTTCAGTTATACCTCAAACCATTGGATGATATAACTGCATTCCCATCTTCATCTCCATCCTACCACCCTACACACCCCACCACGTCATTACCCCAGCCTGAATGTGTACCTCCATTTTCAGCCTAGCACCCTCACCTCACTCCTGCCCCATTCACAACCAAGCAGTTTGCCTGGCTTTCGATCTCATCTATGCCTTCTCTTTCATTTCATCCATTGTCCACTCTTCTACAGTCTCTTTCATTCTCATTTATTCCATCCAGGTAAAGCGCTCAAGCTGTTGCAAGTGGATCATCCCTAACCTCCCAAATTGCTTTTCTGCTCATCTAGGTACTAGAGTCCTCAAGCCGTCCATTGCTGCAGTTCCTCGTTCTCCCATTAGCTCATCTGTTCCCCAAGCAGGAAGAAACATCACGCGCACCCGGGTTCCTCCTCAAACCCCTCGTATTAGTGGAAGGCCATTTACTCCGTCCAAGACATCCTCCTCTCACAGCTCCAGCACACCTGGGGGTAATGGAGTACTCACTTCGCCTTTCTTTTTTCCCTCTTTCCAAGTAGCAACCTCAGGTTATCTTCTCCTGTCAGCACCCTCTTACACTCTCCTCTGCAACTATGCATTTACAAAATAAGGCATACAAAACTCATGGCACGTGATTAAGCACTTGATGTGTGTTTGGATGCACACAATAGACATAGCATTATCTTTTACCTGACCCTCTCTCATGGTACATATGTTCTCCACGCTCTGCCACATGTGTTCGATGTGTATATTTCACAGTTTTACCAAGAGCAGCACTGTGTGTCTCTAGGGTCAGGATCGTTAACATGATTTACAGTCCCTCTTGCTGGCCGGTTGGGAAATCTGGCCACAGCACTGGCCAGGACACACCACATTTTATACCCACCATGCCAAGCCAAGCATTGTGCAGACAGCACAGCTGCCACAGCCAGTCTCGTATATGTTCTTTCACTCTTTCTGTATCTCTTCCTTTCTCAAACACATTCCCTATCTCCCCAAAGAGCAATAGAAGAATAAAGTGAGAACTGTCAACGGATCAAATTTATGATTTTTAGTCATGGCAATTCTATTTGTATATCCAGAACATCTGTAAAACCAGGTTGAAGACACAAACACATATCTATCATTTTCACTCACACAAGTAAGAAAATGGATGATAAGAAAGGCATTTTTCCTTCTGACTTTCTTCCTATTTAGTATTTATTTGTCTCAGTGCCACAAAACATTTTATAACTAACCTTTTTCTCCCTCTAGCAACCGGTGGGGCGCGTCATAGGGGAATTGCTTATCCTAAACATGTGGTGTGGCCCAAAGAGAAAACTGGTAAAGACAAACCGAGATAATCACCTCTCAGCGTTCCTCACTCACTAACCTAAGAGGCACTGCTATGTCCCGTCCCAAGCAGTCACACCGATCTGCGCTTTTGTCACAATCCATCCATGCTTTGTGATTTTCATTTGTCTGTCAGCGTGACGTTTTGTGTCTGGTTGCGATCTGTGTTGTCCGATTGTCCCAGTAGCTTTAACTTGACTGAGACTGAAGCCTTACAAAATTCCAATTTTGGCATATACCTTTCCACATTGTTTAGTCTACTGCACATATGGACCTGTAATCAGGAACCGGTCTGAATTTGTTTGAGAATAGCTTTAGCCTGCTTGTTGTGAAAGGTGATTGTGGTTTGTCCTTTTTTTTGGGTCAATCACATTGTTTCCATTCCTGCCAGGCAGGCTCAGTTAATTAGAGTAATTGAATCCATCTCAAGTACAAATGCAAACCATGTCTGGACCACATGTATTAATGGTGATGCTTCACCCACTCCTTGTAAGTTGGAGTTGTGAAAAGGGGTTGTGCTTCAGTCCCATGTCCCAGCTGGTGTGTGTTATTTCTGGAAACGTTGATAGTTTCAGAGTTCTTCAAGAAGTCACATGGCTCTCTGGAAGCAGCTCTACAGAAAATAATGTTGCTTGCCACACTGCACAAGCATTTAAACATAAAGCTCCTAATGACTGTTTCTCCCTTTCTAAATAGAGATGCAACCTACACACTTGATATTTTTCTCACCACTTCCTAACTTTTTATTTTACTCAAACGATGGAATTAGCATGTCCTTGACAGGTTTATGGAGCTCAGTTTCACATTGGCATTTCAACTTGAATTTCTTTCAAAGCTCTGCTTATTGTGGACTCCAGGTATGTAATGGACGGTGTCCATCCATGAATCCCCTCCATAAAATCTGAGCATTTGTTGCAAAAGCAACAAACCACAGGGATGTGAGACACTGGTATGTGTTTCAGTGGGAATATTTTTCTGGACTGAACGTAAATCCTTGTGTTATGATTGCATCTATTTTCACATTCCTGCCCTGAAGATGAAATTATCTGAGAGAAACCAGCGCTCACACCACTGCTTCTGTTTTACCTCACAAAAGTGAGTCTGAGGCACTTGGCACTTCAGAGAGTCTGCCTGCTGTTTTAGGGGTTTACTGTGGGACAGCAAACCAAACACACACGCTGTAGAAACACCGACCAGATCGTTATATATTGATGTAGACACATTGTTGACATGTATAGTGTTGACATCACGTCTTATCACATTACATCACGTTGGCCTTGTTCTCATTTCTTGTCCATGACATCACATCTTCGGAGCTGTCAGTCCTTCTCTTCGCGTACCCCCGTCTTTTTGGTTTATCTTGAGACTGGCATTTAAATGATTGCAATACCATATAGTGTGACTTTCTGTATGAGCATATGTTTGCCATTAGTTGTCAGATATACCATGTGCGAGTCAGAGGCCCCCATGAATGTACTTTCGGTTAATCAGTGAGACTTGTTGGCAGATGTTGTTACAGTTCGTCTTGATAGCCTCACCTCTTTTCTCTTGGGAGGAGATGCCAGAGAACTCTGATTTATGCCGAGGAAAACAAAGCCAAGATAAATGTTTTTAAGCCTTAACAATTGGACAATTACAGAATGTTGTTGACTAGAAATGAATCTCTGAGATAAGAGAATGACAAATGGCGAATGGAGTTGATTCTCTGGAAATGAAACAGTTGAAATGTATTATCTCTTAACAACATTGGATGTGAAGCCTGTAATGAGATCAACTTGTGTCAAACCTCCCGGAGCTTAACCAACACTTTTAAGATATCAAACCAAGTGTTCAGGGAGGCTTATTCTTGTTTAACAACGTTCAGTCATTTTACAGCCGTAGTGTTAAGATATCTGAGATTTACACTTCGTAGCTGTGGTGTTTTCATTACAAAGCCTTCTTGTGATTTCTTATCCAGTTCAGCCAAGAGAGTTTATTCCTCAGATTCATTAAAGCCGTTAAACTGATCTGGTCTTCATCTCGCAGCTTGGCACGATCTTTATTTTATTGTGTTCTCCATGGTGCAGGGATTTAGTGGAAAATGTGATGGTCAAACAGCATCTGATCTGAAATCATTTTTCACACAAGGGAGTCCAAAGTTGTTGAACCTGCTACCTCACTTTCCTGTTTAGGATTCACTAAGGATCTTTAAATTCCTCAGTTATTCTTCTGAAGACTTTTGTTCAGTTATTAAATACGGACATGTTTTTCATTAGTCAAATGTGGCTGCAACGTGACTTGTCAGCGTTTTACATGCAATCTGCTTGGCTTTGATGTGCTTTATTGTTGCTTGTATATTATGTCATATGTTTGCACACTCATTTTTCAGCACACAGTATTACTGCAGTCCTCTGACCTACTTAATGTCTCTCTCTTTCTGAATCTATAAACTTCACATTCTTTCATCGTTGTTGCACTATTAAAATAACCATCTTGTTTACAGTTTTGTATCTCTCCTTCACGGCCCAACACCTGTTCTGTTTTTATTTGATTCCTAATCTAAAATGGACTTTTGTTTTCCCACAAGTCCCTACAGTCCTGCGTCCTATCAACAAGAAACCCAACCTGGTGGGGAAACCTAGTGACAATGGTGAGGGCAACAGTGATGCTGCACCCAACCCTGCTGCACCTTGTCCTGTACACTGTCATCATTCACACAACAGCAAGGGGAAGGCTTAACTTCTGCTTCTTAAGCCAGTGGTTGTCAAACTTGTCCTTCATGTCATCATTTAGTTGTATCATGGATCCAGGCCCTCTCAAAAGCTATTTGTAACGAACATTCTGAAAATGTGTAGTTTTTCACACCTTATTATGCGGATTAAAATGTGAAATAACCTGTTAGCTTTATTGTGCTGGTAGAATGATTGTGTTACATTTGGACAGAGCCAGGCTGTTTCCAGTCTTAAGGCTGTCTCTTTAAACTGACTATATATTTATTTATTTACAAGAAAGAATAAACGTTTCCCTAAATTCCAAACTATTCCTCTAAACTTCATCCAAACTGCCAGAGGCTGAACACATACAAGACAAAAGACTTTCTACATTGACAGTGAGCCTGAACTTAAATCATTTTTTTTGGTGATGATTTGACTTCTTTTGACATGATAGGTCAATGAGCATCAATTATTTTCCCTTTCTTCCTTTCTAAAAATCTGTCCAACCCAAATTGTACATGTTTTGTTGTTTTGAACAATGCTCTCGACACCCTTTATAGCCCAACTAGCCTGAAAGCACTCTTGTTTGTTTATTAGTCACACATGAATCCAATTTATTCAACTTTAGTTCCACTGCACATTTTTCCACTAGGTCAAGTAAGTCCCGCTGCGATGCCTCCACGCCCTTCGTTATAGTTTGAGAACCACTGGCTCAGGCTGTCTTCTGCAATTATAAAAATGCTTATAACTTCAAAATATGGCTTGTAGGGTTTACTAATGAACAAAACAGCATTCCTCTTAACATTTCACCTCATCTCTATCACTTGTTTATATCTCTCTGTCTTCACATAAGTGCACTGATATACACAAGGCCTCTGTGTGCATGGTCCTGAGCATCTGGGCATCTTTGTCTTTCGCAGATGTATTCTGGCAGACCTTTTTCCCCTTTAATGTGCACAAGAGAGCTCACACAACAAGCAATCTCTGATCCTCAGACGCCAGGAAAAGGCCACTGGGTTGCTCAGTGAAGATGGCCAGAGCAGATGGATCACAACTGTGTGTTACTATGAGTCAGAGGATGAGTGTGAATAACTGATCGCTTCTCCTTCTCCTGCTGCTCCCTATCCTCAGATAAACCCATGGATTTGAAACAAGGAGGCAAGGAATCCATCTTGAAGCCATTTCCTCTGGTCACAGCCAAGCCCAAGCAAGAGCGCAGACAGCAGCACACGACCAGCTCGGCCCCGGCACTAAACAGTACGAGAAAGAAATATGATTGAAAAAGTGATATGACTTGAGTAAATGCATGTGATAATAATCATCTTGATGGAGCTTGCAGGTGTGTATTGTAGTAAGGCAAAAAGCAAGAAAGAAATTAAAACGTTTTGAATATCAAGAGGCAGACAAAGAGCAGGTGCTGGGCTGGCCGGCGGCTGACCTGGACCAGAGCTGCAGAACTGAGGACAAAGAGCTGCCAGGGACTGCTGGCACATCAAACAATCCCCAACCCCTCTCTCCTGTTTCCTTTTCAGCAAGCCGTTTTGACATGAATGACAACTCCTCCGTATTCAGCCATTCTCCTGTGTCAGACTTAGACATCATGGGCAAGCCGCGCTTTGTAGGTGAGAGTCCATCCATCCATCTTGTTGTTTTACATCTCCCCTGTGGTTTAAACAGCTTAATCTTTGAAATCCTCTCACTCAGTACTAACACATGGCAACCTAAAGAGTGGAACAGGTAACATGCATACATTATTTGTCTAACTTATTCCCATCTATAGGTCCCCATGTGATCTACAAGACGGACAAGAAGCCAGACGAGCCGTGCTCCATCACCTCCTCCCTCAGTTTCTTCGCTGATGAGGAGGGTGGGGATCAGAATGTGACTGGTCCTCCCCGCGTCCCCCCCACCAACCTCACTGTGGTCACTGTGGAAGGCTGCCCGTCCTTCGTCATTCTTGACTGGCAGAAAACTGATAATGAAACCAGAGGTACAGTAGATACAAACGTTGACATTTTCAAAGATATGGGATGGAACTGCCCTTATTCAGCAAAGCTAGTGGCTTCATAGACACTTTGGGTCGGTGAGCGTTCGGGTCAGAATTGAACCAATGTGCTTGGACCCTCTTTGACTTGGCTGGAAGTCTTGGTAGATTTGTTTTGGAAATGAGCACTGAATGGAAAATAACTCCATCTCAACTTAATCAAGCTGTGTCCTCATTCATGACTGCAAGTTGTATGGATGTAACTGGCTGATAGGGTTGAAAGGTTGTAAATAATGTTTTTAACTAGGTTGTCACTTATGGTTATTATAATTGTTATAGATTATAGTGTTTGAGTTTCCTTTGGTGGTGTTCATCCTACTAAAAAACCTTTACAGGTTAGTTATGTTGTGATTGCTTCGGAGGCCTTTCCTCAAAATGAACTCAAAATATCTCAACATTAATTTATTTTACCTTTTGAAATGTGAACTTGCACTGCGTTTAATGTGTAGAATGTGTTAAAGGATTCCTGCTTTCTTTCTCAGAGTATGAGGTTGTATCCACCACTAAAGGACCAAATGGAGAGGAGGTGTCCGTCCTGACGACCAACCAGACACACACAGCCGTGGAGAATCTCAAACCAGAGAGCAGGTATGTGACTCAAACCATATTATGTCAGACAAACACCCTACCATCCATATTTTCCCTTTAATGGTTCCATTGTTCAGGTATTTGACTATGCATAGTTTAGGAACAACTAACCATGTTTACATTACAATAAGGGTTGTCCATATAAACCTTGCTTGAAGTTTCCCTCTGGAGGTTGGTTTTCTGTCACCTCTAGTAGTAAAGAGCAGCTTGTCTTTGAGTGGGTCTTCGTACAGATGTCAATAGTGTCCCACTCTTCCACTTTTCACCAGTTGATGGTAACATGTCAAGAAAAGTATTTGTAAACAAAGGCAGTGAAGACGTCTTCAGCAAGTAATCTTGAATGTGCATATTTCAAAATGTAAAGAAAAGTGGACTTTGCAATTGTTTTATGAAGAGTTATTGAAGGCAATGCATTCATTATGGAAGTAAGTGTTTATATTACCTTGTTTTTTTAAATAACTCCACGGGGCACCTGCTTGAAGTGCTTGCTGGCTGATTACATTAGTAGGGTTCACTGTAGATCTCATAAAGAGAGTATTGAATGGCAGTGACAGGATATTGGTGTGCTACTTATAAAGGTACAGTGGGGCAAAAAAGTATTTAGTCAGCCACCAATTGTGCAAGTTCTCCCACTTAAAAAGATGAGAGAGGCCTGTAATTTTCATCCTAGGTATACCTCAACTATGAGAGAAAAAAACAAATCCAGAAAATCACATTGTCTGATTTTTAAAGAATTTATTTGCAAATTATGGTGGAAAATAAGTATTTGGTCAATAACAAAAGTTCATCTCAATACTTTGTTATATACCCTTTGTTGGCAATGACAGAGGTCAAACGTTTTCTGTAAGTCTTCACAAGGTTTTCACACACTGTTGCTGGTATTTTGGCCCATTCCTCCATGCAGATCTCCTCTAGAGCAGTGATGTTTTGGGGCTGTTGCTGGGCAACACAGACTTTCAACTCCCTCCAAAGATGTTCTATGGGGTTGAGATCTGGAGACTGGCTAGGCCACTCCAGGACCTTGAAATGCTTCTTACGAAGCCACTCCTTCGTTGCCCGGGCGGTGTGTTTGGGATCATTGTCATGCTGAAAGACCCAGCCACGTTTCATCTTCAATGCCCTTGCTGATGGAAGGAGGTTGTCACTCAAAATCTCACGATACATGGCCCCATTCATTCTTTCCTTTACACGGATCAGTCGTCCTGGTCCCTTTGCAGAAAAACAGCCCCAAAGCATGATGTTTCCACCCCCATGTTTCACAGTAGGTGTTCTTTGGATGCAACTCAGCGTTCTTTCTCCTACAAACACGTCTAGTTGAGTTTTTACCAAAAAGTTCTATTTTGATTTCATCTGACCATATGACATTCTCCCAATCCTCTTCTGGATCATCTAAATGCTCTCTAGCAAACTTCAGACGGGCCTGGACATGTACTGGCTTAAGCAGGGGGACACGTCTGGCACTGCAGGATTTGAGTCCCTGGCGGCGTAGTGTGTTACTGATGGTAGCCTTTGTTACTTTGGTCCCAGCTCTCTGCAGGTCATTGACGGTCCCCCCGTGTGGTTCTGGGATTTTTGCTCACCGTTCTTGTGATCATTTTGACCCCACGGGGTGAGATCTTGCGTGGAGCCCCAGATCGAGGGAGATTATCAGTGGTCTTGTATGTCTTCCATTTTCTAATAATTGCTCCCACAGTTGATTTCTTCACATCAAGCTGCTTACCTATTGCAGATTCAGTCTTCCCAGCCTGGTGCAGGTCTACAATTTTGTTTCTGGTGTCCTTTGACAGCTCTTTGGTCTTGGCCATAGTGGAGTTTGGAGTGTGACTGTTTGAGATTGTGGACAGGTGTCTTTTATACTGATAACGAGTTCAAACAGGTGTCATTAATACAGTTAACAAGTGGAGGACAGAGGAGGCTCTTAAAGAAGAAGTTACAGGTCTGTGAGAGCCAGAAATCTTGTTTGTTTGTAGGTGACCAAATACTTATTTTACCGAGGAATTTACCAATTAATTCATTACAAATCCTACAATGTGATTTCCTGGATTCTTTCCCCCCATTCTGTCTCTCATAGTTGAAGTGTACCTAGGATGAAAATTACAGGCCTCTCATCTTTTTAAGTGGGAGAACTTGCACAATTGGTGGCTGACTAAATACTTTTTTGCCCCACTGTATGTTCTGATTTACTTGTACGTCTTGCTGCGACACAAAATCTGGGTGGAAAGGTTCAGAGTGTTTTTAATTAAATCTCCGCATCTGGAGTCTCAAAACTCAACAGAACCCGGCCCTGGGCTGGGTCTGCTGGCCCGACTATTGCCAGGACATCTGAATGCAGCACATGGAATAGCCATCAGCTCCGTGTGTGTGTGTGTGTGTGTGTGTGTGTGTGTGTGTGTGTGTGTGTGTGTGTGTGTGTGTGTGTGTGTGTGTGTGTGTGTGTGTGTGTGTGTGTGTGTGACCCATTCTTAGCTTTCAAAGGCATGAAAGTGTGATGCGCTCCAGTTCTGGAGGTTGGGAGGGATTACGATGAATAACTCCTCAAAATTTGTATAACACCTTTTTACTCATTTTTTCTTTTCTATTTTGTTTCAGTTATGAATTCACAGTAACACCAAAGAATGAGCTGGGAGCCGGACCCTCCAGTGACCCTGTGACGTTTAGCACAGAATCGGGCAAGTTTTACAAACCATGTAATTGAAATAAACCAAAGTCCTAACAGAGGAAATTCCTGATAAACCTGAATGTGTTTGCTCTGACAGATAATTAGTTGCATGTTAATCCCACTGTATACACTTCTAATTATCAGGCTGTTGTGAGCATTGCTTTAATTCTCAGAAGGTGGGCTATTAAGCAGTTGTTAGTGTAATGATTTCAACATGGCACTGGGGTCTGACTGATTAGGACTCAAGGGGTTTGTCAGCTCACCAGATGTCTTCTGAGTCTCATTTTCCTAGATAAAAAGGCTGAATTTGAGCCTTGTTGATCAAATGTTGTGTTTTTATAGGGGCCCTATTATGAACAATTTCAGGTTCATATTTTATTTATTACTTTAACCCTTACAACATTAGTAAGGTAATCCTGTTCAAATCAGGGGGTGGGGTAGAGAAATAATTGACATGCACAAAAACCTGCAGGAAAGTGAAAACCCAGAAAAGGATTAGGGCCTCTTTAAGATCCCAATGACACCACTGATGCGGCTTTCACACCAGCGCTTTTCCCTTTCTAGCTCCGAGCTAGAGCTTTTCTGGTTCAGCTCCGGTTTCCCTTTTCTGCTCCCGCTCTGTTCACACCGCCCAGCACCCGACTGGTGCTGCCGCTGCTGCGTCATGACGTCACCGTTTACATCGCTGATTTGCTCCCCAACGGCGTTACGGCGCTCACAACAACGGGGAACTCCGTCGGGTCGATGATCGTGTTGCTTTTAATCACACGAAGCCAGATTAAATTGAATAACGACTTCTCCAACCTTATGCTTTGCTCCAGAGTGCCGTGGTTCATTGTTTATTAATGTGTTTCTGCAGCATTTACCGACCGCTGCAGTCTGGCTGCTCTTCCACGGGAGTTTATTCTCCTCCGTTAGCTCCCGGTTAGCTCACATTGCAGCGGCCGCTCTAAAGTATTCACTGTCCGACTCACACAAGCAGCTGATACATATCCCCAGTTCCCCTTGAGAGACGTAAGCGACGCCACCTCTTAGCTCCGAAGCTCTTGCCTCTAGACCGACAATTTTTTGGAGCTGGAAGTGAACCGGATTGCGGAGCTAAGAGCCGGCGCCGCTGCGGTGTGAACAGGAAAACCCGGCGCTTTTCAGGCTCCAGCTCCGAGCCGGAGCTGGAAAAGCGCTGGTGTGAAATGGGCATGAGAGGGGAAGCTTTGCCTAATTGGCCTCCTGCCCTCGAGCAATCAGAGCCCAGCCTGTTGGGAGTGGATATTTCTAATATTGTGCCAAATTGGCCCCGATACACGTCTGTGTTTGTTTTGCTCAATGATTGAAGGTATCTTATGAATGTGTGGTTACTCTAAGTTTTTCATTGCAACTTAATCTCACGTTTGCAGCGGACCCACGAGTGAGCGAACATGCTTCAGGTGAATATCGTTTTTCTCTGTTTATCAGTGTGTTCCAGCTAAATAAAGCTTTTTAAAATGTTTAACTTTGACTTGTTTTTAATCCTGTTCATACAGTAGACTATATTCAGACTCCACTTCTAATGATTTCTTCACAGGCAAAGATGCAATCTGGACTCAGTTCCCATTTAAGTCTGATGACTACTCTGAATGCAATGGAAAGCAGTATGTGAAGAGGACCTGGTACCGGAAGTTTGTAGGAATCCAGCTCTGCAACTCGCTGAGATACAAGCTCTACATGAGTGACTCTCTCACTGGTAATTACAGAAACAGAAGAATCTTTTTATGATTTTCAACAATCCACTATACTATGCCGACTACTTTATTTAAATCACCTTTTATGGCATGCTATATTCTGATTTGTTCTTGAATTTTTTATGGCAACCTGCTATCCTTTTATGACTTTTTTCATAATATAGCTTACTATAACTTTTTTTGAAGAAGAAGTTGAAGTATAATTTGTTATTAAATAAAACAATAGTATAGTATGGCATAAAAAAGCATTTTGGTCATAAAAACAATCAAAAAAACTCGTAGTATCCTTTACAACATATGTAAATATAAGTACGCCATAAAGGGACTGCGGATGGAAATTAGCTCCAAGCTAAAATCCGGCATATTTACACTATTTGCATTTTTTTGTTTTAAGTGTTCATTAATGTGCATTGTCCCTGCTAAATAAACGATTAAATTAAATGAAAATAAAAATGTTTAAAAATAATAATAGTACTTAAAAAAAATATATATAATTAAAAAGTCATAGTAAAGTATGCCAAAATAAGTTGTAAAAAAAGCGGTAGAAATAAATCATAGTATAATATGTCATAATATAGAAAGAAATATTGGATTAGATTTATAAAATAGCACTAAAAGGGAAAAAACTGACCTTTGATTTCCTTTGACCATTTCCATTAAGTTTTGAGAGGAAAAATAACCTGGATTTAGATCATGTGGTAGGGTCTATTTAGAAACAAATTATGAACCTTCTTCCTCTATTCTTTCTTTAGGGAAGTTCTACAACATTGGAGATCAGACGGGACACGGAGAGGACCATTGTCAGTTTGTGGACTCCTTCCTGGACGGACGCACCGGCACCCAGATGTTTGCTGACCAGCTACCAAGCAGACAAGGTATGTTAGTTAGCCATCACCATTAACCAATCATTACAATACGTAGACTCTTACACTCTCCTCTGTGTCTTTGTCCCAGGGTTTTACAGAGCGATGAGACAGGAGCCCGTCCACTTTGGAGAGATTGGAGGAAAGTCACATGTTACTTACGTAGGCTGGTACGAGTGTGGCACACCCATCCCTGGGAAGTGGTAAAAACCCCACAGCGGTTTCCAGGAAGGATTCCTTTATTGGAAAGTAGGAAGAAGGAGACGCCTGCCTTACCCTGAAGGGAGGTGGGCCTTTCTGTCATGTTACCATGGACACTGTAGATGGGTCTGTCTGTTTGAGCTCCTTTCTCAAAGGGTTGAACCTGTACACGACTCTTAGGTGTCACAAAACTCTTCTTGAGTGCATTTGTAACATTTGTCTTAATTTCTCTATTTATCAAAAATGCATTCAGCAAACAGGTGTTTGAGAGAACCAAAATGTTGAATATACAATAATTACAGAGAAAATGGTTGGAAGCTGGCTCCCAAAGTGTTATAACTTGTATGATATTATTTATCAAAAGGGGATCGTTATTGAATATTCTGTGTGTGCTCGGGCTTTTGAAATGAGGAAGTACAAATTGTTCCAAATACTTGCATGTCAGTGAGCACACACATTGTGTTATATGTATACAGCACGGTACCAATCATGCTTTCATTGTACATTTGGACTTTGTAAAATACAAGTACACACAGACATGCAGAATGGACCTTCTGCTGGCTCTAAGGGATTATTAGCAGTTGCAGTTTGCACAGTATTAAACCTTTTGTTATGTATATGGTGTGGAATACAGTATGTATACCAGGGATCCTTTAGTTTGATACATTTCAGGTAAAAGACTGCTCTTAGCCAAATTGTATTTTTAGAAAGCTAATGTAGCTCAAACCCAGCGTTTCTATGGACTCACTTGGAAAGATTTATGTAGTTTTGATGCTGAGTCTTGTCCTTTATTTTATAAAATAACATATATAAAAAAAATATAAATAATAAACTGAACTTCAACGTGGAAACAAAAGTACATTTCATAATTTATGTTTTTGTGTTCAAACTTACGAAGTGTACATAAAGCTATGAATCATTGGAGAGAAAGACTGCCTTTGTTTTTGATGCCCAATGAATGTTTGTTTGTTTTCAGCAATAAATCTTGTTTTTATATTTACTGATATTCATTTCTGCTCGACTTCAATGACTTTACTGGTGAAGCTTATGCAAGACATTTTGGAAAGCTGTTCTCTTTCTATGCCAAGAGTCGGAAGAGATTTTCGATATGCGATCTCCGTCTTCTCTGAAGCAGGAAAGCTTTTCCAAAGAAATCAAACTTCTCCTTATAGGGGGTGATTCATTGGCTCCACATTTGTGCTTGGATTTTGATCTTAATTGGATCAAACACATATGGATGAAATAGGGATTAAACTCCACAGGTAGATATTATCCAACCATGAGTAATAAATCCATAACAACGTGCTAACTACATCAATATTGCTATTTTCATGTAAACAGAGTGATTTTGGTTTGGCACAGGCGAGGTGAAGAGCAATGCTAAACACTCCTCTCGTAAATTATCTTTAATAAACCCGATGTGCTCAATTCCTCCGACTCAGAGAGACAGTTTGACATGAGGTATCAACCGCATACTCCCATGCCATAAGTCCCAGCCAACCACAACCCACAGGCAGGAAAAGTGAATAGGAAAACCAGCATTACTACAGTTTTCCAAATCTGGGTGGGGGAGAAGAAGAGAAGCCAAAGTTAACAGACATGAACTCAGAAACCACAAAGTGTTAAGAGGAAGACAGCGTGCCGGCCAACAGAAACACAATATCAAAACAAAAAGATAAAACTGGGTCGCAATCATTTATTAGGTTCAAGAAAAAATGTTACATTTTATACATAAACAACTAATCTCACTCGAGGATGGAACTTGATTTATTAGTAAAAACCAGTGATAGAGAAAAAGAGGAATAGCAAGCCTTACTGGAGATGATATATAATTAGCTAAATGAAAGAAGCCTTCTTCATGACACTGGGATCTACACCTCCCATAAGCCATCACCTAGCTAGTGTTCCCAACATGGGGCAGTTTCAATAACACATCATTAATACCGACATGGTGGTGAAGTTGATCAGATCAAGAAAAACAACAACAAACAGCAAAAACAAAAGGGTTCATTTAGATAGTGTCATATAAATGCATCGATACATAGTAACCTCGACCGGGTTGAGATATTTGCCATCGACGTGTACGACACCGATGCAGAATGTGGACGCTGATCTCACTCGCAAAATGAAGCATTACCATGTACAGAACATTGTGCAACAGCCTGCTGTGGTCTCCCAGGTGTGTGCATACAGACTAGTTACATATGGACAGGTACAAGAGGGCCAGTGGTGGTGACAGGAGGCGAGGAGTAACAAGGAACAGACACCAGGGCAGAGTGTGGTGTTGGAGAGACAGCATACAAACACTAACCATCAGACTGGGGGGGGGGGGGGTTGCTTGTTTCATGTTTGGATATTGGTGTAGGGAAGGGGATGCAGAGCAGCGTTTTCCTGCACCCACTCCAAACAGGGAGCCACACATAGAGGGAGGGGGTTGGGGGTGTGAGGATCATCAGCTATCCTCTTTTACCGGTACCCAGGGCCAGGCTGGGTGTAGCCCTGGCCGTACGGGGGGCGGTTGCGGGCGTACGGGTTACCGGCTCCGGGTGGGGGGGGTGACAGTGCTGCCTGGGGGAGGGGTGTATCCTGGGCGGGGAGCGAACCCTGCTGCGGGCTGGGAGCCGGGCGGCAGACTGTAGTTGGCAGGCTGGGAGGCCTGGGAGGTATAGTTTTGGGGAGGGAAGGCTCCTGGGGGGTACTGCTGGGCTGCCTGAGTGGGGTGGGGCTGCTGCTGCTGCTGCTGCTGCCCCCCCTGGAAGCCTGGAGCAGAAGCTGCACCGGGGGCTGGGGCCTGGGAGGAGGGAGGGGGGTAGTTCTGAAACTGCTGCTGCTGGGGCTGCTGGGGCTGCTGAGGCTGCTGGGGCTGGGGGGGGGCGGGCTGAGGGGCTCCGGGCTGAGTGCTGTATCCTGCAGAGAGAGGGAGGGAGAGTCTTTTTAATTCACTCCAGAATAAAGACATCCCCATTGCTCTAAGCAGCTGCTTTTCTTCTTGTAACATCCTGACCATTTCTGCTCTTACCAGAGTACTGCATACCGTACTGCTGCGGCTGCTGGGGCGGGGCAGCGGGCTGCTGGGGGGGGTATCCACCTGGAGCCTGGTACTGCTGATACATCTGACCTGAAGACACGGGGACAAGCGTCATCAGTACACAGATAGAACAACACAAATAAGATCTGCTGTTCCAGATTCACTTTAAAGTATCTCAGTGTTTGTTTTTCACTCACAGCTTCTGCTAAAACTTCACGCAGTCATTAAGCAAGGCTTAGGTAGACGAGGAAAACATATTTGGTGGTTTTCTACAGGCCTGTATTGACGATAACCATAATACGTAAAACCTTTCCACAAAACGTGAACATTCTGCAAACTGTAAGAAGTTTGGACACAACCTTTAAAGGTTAACAAGTATCCACTTCAGATCCTTCCGTACGATTGTATATGTTATAAATTGGATCTCTTCTGCTTTTTTAAGCATTTGATTTGAAAGCCATCCAAGATGCCTCGAAGAAGTATGTGTGTATGTGGTATCAGGGAAACACCTGCTCATCAGGACAGAATAACAAACAAAAAGCAGCTGCAAACACTTTGATGCAGCTATTTGTTGCTAAAAGCGCAGGACTCACAGATGTTGACCGTTGGTAGACGTTACAGTAAGAAGCATCAACCACCAACAGCATGCAAGGGCCCAAGTCCACATAAACACACAAAGGCAACCTTTGCAGAGGGTGATGAGTAGTTGGTAATATCTTCCTTGAAAGTGACGTCGTGCACACACTCATTTTTATGTTTCAAAAACATGGAAACTATTTTTCCTTGTTATTTTAAATCATCAAGTTTTCCGTTGAATGCCTGAATGTTCAGAAGGCAGGCGAAGACTTGGCAAACTACTGGTCTCCCTTAACAAGGCCTGAATCTTTCTCCAAGATCTCCTGCCTGGCACATAAACTGGGTTGACGACATGAAAAGCACAAAGAGGGAAGGCCTAATGAAAGACGGCCGCACCAGGGTTCACTGCTTCTTCAAGCCCTGCTTTTCCACTCTTTGGGAGGGCTGACATGACACTTTACAATTACTGAGTCTGAACAACGCAACGCTGAGTCCTATGAAATGATATACTGTCCGAAAACCTCAATGCACTCAGAAAGAACTCCAGTAATTCAAAACATTAGAGTAGTGCATACAGTACACACACACTGAATGTCCCGAAGGCAACTGACTTTGAGGAGAGGAGGCTAAAAGAACCAGGAGTCAGAAAACACGTCAAACAACGTTGCATTGTTTCTGGGAGACACTTGACAACTAAATATTTATCTAGCAACAGTGGTGTCTTTTTAAAAGCGTTAATGTGATGTGGCAACCATCTGTTATCTCACTGACAGCACCTTTTACATGAACACCACAGTCTTTATTGTGTGAGAAGGCATGTGTGTTAAATTGGCTTCTCCTCCTGTTCTCCCCGGCCTGTAATCCATCATGTGTTATGTGAGAGTGATGGAAGGACGCATGAGGGCTGTGAGACACCTTCAGCCTGGGGAGTTCATTTCACTTCAGGGTAGAGATCAGCGTTGAGCCTGCTGAGCGCTCACAGGACGAAGGAATGAAAAGAGTCAAGGATCAAGAGTTACTATTTTGGTACAGTAGTTTGCTTTTGAAATCAGTCGCCTATAGACCACTTTACTTTTAGGGTGCATTCACACCTGATAGTCCGCTCTCTGGTGCGCTCCAGACCACAGTTTGTTACATTGTTTCATTTTTCAGAAGGTTCGGTTTGCGTTCGGGCAAAACTCAAACGGACTATACACTTTAAACACAAGTCATGTGCACGGAAATGCTGTTCAACCATTGGTCAGACATTAAGGGGGTAAAAACGCAAATCCCGGCAATTTCTACCGGAGCCTCCGCCATGGAGCATCGGCACCTTCGGCAGGTTATTCTCATGCTGCTGTTAGTCTGGAGATCAATACACACTAGCGGCCCGCGCATATGATTATATAATCAGACAACGTCCGTTAAAAAACATTATAACGTAATGAGAGACGTGCAGTAAGGAGGGGCGTTTCACCGACGACAGGTGTTCTTACTTTTATGTAGCTGACGGAGAATTGTTACTTTACACGACACTGTTCAACACTTAATTCTGCTTCACTCTTTAACTAAACAACCGCGGAGGTCTTGAAAGACTTTCGCTAAAGATTTTTGAAGATATCCGCGTTCTTGTGACACGTAAATACTGCGCTTCCTATGTTTTGGTGCGGACTGCGTTCACACCAGCAATGAACCGCTCCAGAGTTCGCAAGCAAGCGCTCCGAGACCACCTATTTTAGCGGACCAGAGTCCGGTTGTTTAGTTCACTTCAGAGGTCTCGGACTGCGTTCACACCGACCCAAATGAACCGCACCAAGCGGCTAAACGCACCAGGGTTCGATTCAACCGGACTATACAAGGCAGGTGTGAACGCACCCTTAAGAAGACAGTCACGGATAAATGGATTCTATCAAGTCTAAACTTCACTTCACACATGCATCCTGCGCTTACCAGTGTGTGGCATTTAATACATCTTAAAACCAGTGCACATAACCACCAAGTGCGTGCACATGATATGAGTGCACAGAGTCAAAATGGCTTGTGGAAAATGCACAAATGCAGTCCATTCCTGCGACACTGGCTCACTCGTCCAGTTGACAATGTTTGTAGGGATGGAATAGACTGATGGTGACTTTGCTTCGGCTGAGGGAACCATAAACGATGATCATCATGTTGTGACCACGTAAAACTTTATCTAGCAGGCTCACAAACTAGTTTCGCATAGGCCTGGATTCTGGCTGCAGTCCGGAGCCCCGGCGAGGGGCTCACTGGAGACGGAGCCAAGGCTACAGGAGACAAATCCCAAGTTGGGAAAATGATGTTCATTGGAACAAAAAAGTATTTGGCTCTAGTTCTACTGAACTTTAAACAAGCCTGAAGAAAAAGTCAGGAGAACAAGTTCTTATTTAAAAAAAACAACACAT